AATTTCAGATCGATACCTCGTTTTTTGGCCAAGTTATAGCGAAAAAACTGTTCAAAAATGATGACGTCAAATTTTCAAACTCAATTTTTGACAATTCTAGAACTCGTAGAGCAAAACAAAGACCACCATTAGACTCCCCGTGACGAGCTGCATCGAATCGATGCCCATTTTATGCAAAAATATCAACTTTGAAATTTGACCTAATTTGACCTGACCTTGACCTGACCTTCACCAAAACGTGACCTAGGCTGGCCCCAAAGGCTGCCTAACCCACACAATCGCATTTGTCATGTAAAATGGACCATAAAACATGTATCACACGACACATTCATATTGTGACCCCCGGTGACCTGACCTCGCTGTGACCTGACCTGGTATCAGTGACCTCAGATAGCAAAGTATGTGTTTGACGAACAATGTACCATCGATGGTTTTCAATAAATTACCAATTTACTCGCTTTCACAGCACATTTCTTGAATTGCCTGTGAACGGGGAAAATCTGACCTTTGACCTGACCTGTGACGTCATCAGTTTGACCTAGGTCAATGAAATTTGGTCACAAGGTAGTTCCCGGGTGGGGCTATCGAACGCCGTTTGAATTTTGAAAATCGGCCGGTAACTTTCCGAGATCTTAAGGGGGGGCCGTTTCGGCCCCCCCCCCCTACGGGTGGTAGGGTCCGCCGGTAGCCCTACGGGGCGCGGGTTAATTTTCATATTTTTTGTCATAAACATTATCCTAATATAAATGTTTGTTTAATGCTGGTGGTATTTTTTTTTTATAAATGTTTATAAATGTTCTTGTTTAGGTATGTTAATATATGATTCTAAGGATATTTTCATCGTTTTATTTAGTTTATGAAAAACATTATTGGCAATAATAGCCGTTTTCACGATGGCCACTGACTAGTACACATTTGGTGCAGATTATGTGCATATTTGGTGCAGATTTGGTCAGATTGTGTTATGTGTGTTTCTTAAAAGATATCAGTTTGGGCTGCACAGATGCTAAGTATATGCCTAATTTGTTAAATCATCAGTCATTATTTTTGATTAAACGCTTAAATAAATCGATGTTTCGAAGATATTTATTGTAAAAGAAATTTGGTGCAGATTTGGTCGAATTAGGTGCATTCACCAGATAGCCCGTCATCAAAACGAATAACATTTCTAATGCGGTATTATTATCCAATGTGGATCGCTGGAAAAGTTGATGTTCAATAAATATTTATGTGTGCCTCCCACTAGCTATTGAAAAGAAAAGGGACAAGTAATCGAAACTGCTCCATTGGACCCGCTGGCAACCACGGAGGGGGGGGGGGAGGCAAGTAAGACATGGCACCATGCCCAATTTTTAATGTTAAGCTCCGTCTCTGGCCGCGGTATTGGCGAGTGGGAGTATTTGTCCGTTCTCAGTGACAGTGTCCGTCTATGAGCCGCTCTTTCTCCGCCCCCTCAATGTCCGTCTCTTAGTGCGAGTAGGTATTTGCCCGCCCCCAGTTGCAGTGTCCGTCTGGTGTATTTGTTCGCCAAGTCTGGTAGTGTCCGCCTCTGACTTCTGAGTCTGCATTCTGTTCGCCCTCGCCCCTCAGTGAGGGTTTCCGTATATGAGCAATTGTTTGCCTGCCCTGAGCCCTCACTAAGGGTATCCGACGATCCGCATTTTCTAAATTTATTTTGCGATGTCTGGCGTCACACTGGCAGATCCAGCCCCCCCCCCCCCCCCCTGCTGTGCCCGAATTGACGAAAATATACGTTTTTTAGGGGTAAAAACGAAAACCAAACAACTTCTGTGAAGAAAAGTTTGCTTACACTGCGTAGCAGTGCGCAAGGAATGGAGATCCGATTAGTTTTTTAAGTTGGGAAACGTTTTCGGGGTATGCCCGACCCGCAGCGTCCAAGACCTTTCTCATTTCTGGATCCGCCAGTGTGGCGACTGGCGTTACCGCGTCACCTAAAGGGACCCTCCCACCTTAACATTAGTTTTGAGTTGAGATAGCCAAATTGGTGGCCATGGCCTGAAAATACCGGTTTGGGCATTCACAACATCGAAAAATGCTTTAATTCGGAGATATGGAATTTCAAACTTGCAGTTTTCGGATTCTAAGGGGCTAATGCATTGGTATGCCCCCTTAGAATTTGTGACGTCAGCGGAGATCTAACGATTTTTAAATCTTTTCCTAAAACGTTTGGCAGCACGCGGTGGTATATGCTGCTTTGCGCGCAACAAATGCCGCACTTTCAAATAAAGTCGCTATGGAACAGCGGAGATCCCAAAAAGTAAACAAAAGTAAAAGTCTAATATCTTGAAAACCGGTGAATATTTTTCGATGAAATTTGGTAGATATTCATTTTTGCTCTTTCTGAACCGAGCGACATCACTTTCATGGCAATTCATTAACTTTTTTGAAGGTGGGAGGGTCCCTTTAATTGAATGGCACTTATCGTAATTTGACAGCCACAGGTGCTATCTGATTGGAGCGTGGCAACCACTCAGGCCTCAGCAGTCAGCACCTTTCAATGCTATTATTGAAGGCCCTAAAACATACTATCATTTCGTTTCTGGGCCTCTGGCTCCCATAGAGTCTGAATTTGATGACGTCAACTGGGCTATGACGCCATAAGTTTTCACTCTAGTTTCCTAACAAGATGTGATGCCTAATTATTAAAACCTTGAACAATTACTGGGGACGATTGCGGCCTAGGGTGCGCCATTCGAATTTACGTTCGAATTTTATTTTTCTATAGGTGGCTAAGGCGGTTGGTGGGTTATTATTCCGGGTGTTTGTGTATATTGATATAGGGCAAAGCTATCTTGGTAATTTTTTTTGACAATTATTGTATATCAGTAACGTTTTTCTTGGTAGGTAACTAAGTGGATTTGTATTTTGACCTGTTTCAGCGTTTGATCTCAATAAATTGGCAATTGCTGATGCATGCTCATGCTGTGCCCTTAGAAAACTTGATAATGGTCGGGATTTAGTTTAGCTACCTTCCTACTGACTTTAATTCAGATTGGCTTTAGTGTCTTATACGGCCTTGGCTTTGGTTGGTGTCATGTTGTTATTTTGTTTTTGCGAGACATGCAAGTATCATTTTTTTATTCAGGATGTCAAATAATGTACGAATATGCAAAACCTATCATTGAAAGCTTCTTAGGACTTTATGTAGGACCTCATCTTGACTTTATCTTGACTTTATCAAACATTGCCAGCTGCCATTATGTTTATTTTATTTAAAAAATCCTTGTTAAGATATAACTAGATTCAGAACAAGAAGGGTAGATGCTGTTTGAGGGGTGATTTCTCATCCTTAGCCCTAAAAGCTGTTAACATTTTAAAAGCTTGTTTTTGCCCTCTGATATCCTGTCCATAAAATTATTTATGCAATACAAATGAATTTATTAGATTTTTTTCCATGCAAATAGATTGACAAGTTTTATCATTTTAAGCTGCCTCTTTCCGGAGCACTTCCAAGAGGTTTGTATGCTCCTTTTGCCCTCTCCTTTGATTATGGTCTGCTGTTAGTTCTCCTTGCTTGTGAGCAGTGGCCTGTTTATTGATAATTATGGGTAATTTTAAGTTTGACATGAAGAAGAGCACACAAGTACATGGCTTTCTTGTATTTGGCTTTCTTTTCATCTAGAAGATAAGTAGCTAGGCTGGTCAATATCTGTTGTTGATTCAATATTGAGTCAATATCAGAATTGTCTATAAAAAACAGCAATTTATTGTACTCTCCTGCTTTCTAACACAACAGTAAGCTTTATCTATGATCAAATTGTATTACGTTCAGCCTACAAGTTGCATTAAATTTCAAAGGGAAAATAAGTAGGAGACAGACAGATAAACTGTTTATAATTATCTTACCTGAAATACATGCTTAATGGACACCTCTGTCAGTTTATATGGATCTTTTGGAACATGATATGATATCATTTTATTTAAACTGCCAATTCTATCCTTGTATTGTATCCCAATTTTACTCTGATGACAGTAGTTCAATAAGGCAACTACCAGTACCTACAATAAATCATCTGCTATGTCTGGTTTCATGTTTAACCCGGCAGTTGCTGGGGTATTTCGCCACCCACCGTTTGCTGGGGGGGGGGGGGGCGTTAAACGCCCCCAGCCGATAACTCGAGAACCAATAGGCGCAGCGAAACGCACGAGGCGGCAAACGAAAGAGCGCGACGAGACGCTTCAGATGAGTACTTTAAAGCTGAATTTTGAGGTCACAGGTCGGGTCAAGGTCAGGTCAAACACCTGAAATCGGGCTTTCAGTAGCATGGACTTCAGGACTTCGCAATGGGCGCCTGTCGCCATAAACTCTGTCAAAACGGTGCACAATCCATCTTATAAGGCCTACAAGAGTGTCAGCTCCATATAGGGGTCAGTCAAGCATAGGTCAGGGTCAAGGTCAGGTCAACCGGGTAGGCACATATCCCCGAAAATCAAAACTGATATTCGCAGCCTGTGACACATGTTTTATAGGTAATTTGGGGCGTAGAACACGATGGTGACATTCATTTTATCATATGTGTACTTGTTTGGCTCAAAAAGTTCAATTTAAGAAATTCATGTATCATAGTCACGAATAATTGCCAAGATTCAGTTCAAGATTTTGGAAAATGCGGAACGATAATCAATAATTGAAGATAGCCATTTGATTGATCATGGTATTGGCAGTCTAATAGCGTTTACGGCATGCCTGTATGTCTGTTCTGTGATTTTATAAGATTTTTTGAACATATGCCGTTTTTGGTCGAAAACTCAGAAATCATGACGTCACTAAAACCTCGATATCTCAAAAATTTTCCGACTGATTTTTTTGAAACTTTGTCACAATAAACTTCAATCGATTCTCTACAGGTACCCAAAATTTGGCGCGCCTGCGGCGCGCCATTTTTATGCTATGGCCCGGCGAAAAAAGTGGGGGCGTTTAACGCCCCCCCCCCCAGCAACTCGCGGGTTAAGCTCTTCATTATCACAAAGTTGTATAACCAGGAGATATTAAATGAAAATAGTCATATAGACGGCACTGCGAGCACTGTTAATTGTCTGATCAAAGTACAGCCTATACACTATACACTATACAGTGTCATTGGGCATTTCCCAGTTTTCAAAAGCTGTCCAAACATATTTGCTGTGGCTATTGCTGCTGCTGGGGAGGGACGTTTTCTCATCATTGCTGGCATGCTTGCCACCTAAATTGTGCTGAATATTTCACATGATTTACCTAGCCTGGCTGATTTGTTAACATTCTAAGTGATGGGCACTGCATGCCTTGTGCCTTAGCTATAACTTGCTAGTTCATTCCTAGTTGTGTTTTTATAAGGAACACTGCCCCTGACCCCGCCTGTCGATAGTCGGCGAAGCACACGGGAACGGTCGGACAGACGGGCGCCACCATGCTGAACCAGGCGTCCCGCGAGGCGCTCTACTCGGCCACCTACCTGGAGGACTACCTGGACTGCGTGGAGAACATGCCCGACGACCTGCAGCGCTCTCTGACGCGTCTGCGCGAGCTGGACATCCGCTACCAGTCAGTGCTGGGTGAGCTGGAGCGGCGCCAGGCGGCCGTGCGCCGCGAGTCCAACGAGCAGCTGCGCACGCGCTGCCTGCTGGCTATGCAGCGGGCGCTGATCGCCCTGCAGGAGGCGGCCGACGAGAAGCTGCAGCTGCTGCAGAGCGTGCACGACCTGGTGGACGGCCGCTGCCGTCAGCTCGAGCTCGACTACAAAAACCTTGGTGAGCCACTGCCCCCTGTGGTGGGCCTCAGTTCGCACTAACTCATTCTAAAAGTTAAAACGTCCACCGGATTTATGGTCTTGCTTCTGGTATTGCACAATCAAGTGGTTTGAGTGGAACTGGACAGCACTAGCCGAATCACAGTATGCCGAAAACTGTCAGCGCTGTGTACCTACCTTTTTATTTTCGCGGGTATTTCATTTTTATTTCACTGTGACCAATGTCTACTGGTATTGCTAGACCTTTGCAGTTCGATTTCGAGTTCGAGTTGCAGACCTTGCAAATGTTTTCTTCTTTGTTGAAAAGGCCAAGGGATGAAAAATAAGTGGCCTAAAACCGGTGAGAATACTAGACTTGGGGGTACCCTATGTTGATCTTTATTATGGTGTCCCCCCCCCCCCAAGTCTGAAAGTAGCTCCCGCGCCCCCGTATTTTTATTTGACCACAGCAGACACTCCACAGACGATTCGTGGCTATGTGTCTAAAGTCAGAAGGGAAATAAAATGGGTCATTCATGATTAATGTCGCGGTAAAATACGGGTTAAAGTGAAATACGCCTAACTGACAGACATACCCTTGTACGCACATATACACAAACACATGCCTCATAACTCTATGGCCGGGGAATAATGTCAACACGTCTCGGCGTCTGTATGCTTATGACTGATTGTATATTTCCCCGCAAGTTAACCTTTGCCTCTTTTCAATGCACTATCCGTTTTCAATTTTGATTCGATCTTAGCATACCTAACTCAATCAATTGGTGTAATTAGTCAGGCTGCATCCTACGTTTGTGACATGAGTGACTCCGCCCGGTACTGATAGCACACCGTCTCTGTCCTGTCACCAGATTACGGCAAGGACCAGGAGAACCAGGCGCCGTCGGGCGGCAGCCGGTCGGCCTCTCCGCCGGCCGAGCCGCCGTCTCGCGCCACCCCGGCCAGCGCGGCCTCGGCGCTGCCCCGGCGCCGGCCGCGGCGCGCGCGCGCCGCCGAGCGGGCCTCGGCCGCGGCGGCGGCCGCCGCTGCCGCCGCCGCCGAGGACAGCACGGACGCGAGGGACGCGGAGGAGACACCGACGCGCCCAGCCAAACAGTCGCGCGGCACCGGGTCGGCCGGCCAGGGCAGCCAGAGCCGCGCCGCCAGCGCCGCCAAGCGCCGCAAGCGCAAGGCGCGCCAGGGCCGCGAGGACTCACCGATGGACGTGCCGATCGAGCCCGATGAGCCCACCTACTGCCTCTGCGAGCAGGTCTTCTTCGGCGAGATGATCGGCTGTGACAACGAGCTCTGTCCCATCGAGTGGTTCCACTTCGCCTGCGTCAACATCGTGCACAAGCCCAAGGGCAAGTGGTACTGCCCGCGCTGCCGCGGTGACCGCACCACCGTGATGAAGCCGAAGCACGTGTTCCTCCGGGAGCTGGACCACTACAACAAGCAGAAGCGGGAGGACAGCGACCGCGGCCGGTCGACGCGGGACTGAGCGGCGGCAGTCGTCTCTGGGAGACAGTCCCGAGTGCTGACTGCGCCCTGCGGGGGCCGGGCGGCTCTGATAGGGGGGGGGGGGGGGCGGGACACTGTACAAATGTAGAGCTCGATAGCACGCCGAGTGGATCGGAGGGCTTTTCGGCGAGTCTGGCCGCAGCGGAGGGTGACAGTGCAGTCGCCTCCAGTGACGGTCGTGTTCGTCCGGGTGGACCGTCAGTGAGTACAATCGAACGGGGAGGAAGCCACCCTCTCTCCACCGGCGGAGTGTGTCGCTGTCCCAGCCAGCGTGACCTCAGTAACGTTCACTTGCTGGTACCGTAGCAGTGTGTGTCCCATGAGGTGTCTTTGCAGGCTAGCAATTGTATGCACGGACTTAATGTGGCTTATAAGTGATACTGTCTGTCTAATGTCTATGCGTTGAAAAATAGTATCGGTTCCTTTCGTCCACGACCATTGTATTGCGTTCAAAATGTTACTCTTATTGGCACTGAGTGGTATAATATATTTCGAGCTCATTTCCCACGTATCAGCTTATTTCAAAACGAAACTGAATTGTTTGTAACCCTACTTGTTTTCGTGTCAACACTTTTCGACTAGTCCTGAGGCGTCTTTGGGGAGATTCGTCCCTGCCCCCTCAGCGAAAACAGCGACACAGAGTAAGAAGGCGATTCAAGGCCGGTGAAACGGCACACGCAATCCAGGTGGATTTGACATAACGATGCGTTTTATGTTTTATATCTCGACTTCTCTTGACTCTCAGGCCTGTTTTTACAACGTCCGCCCATGTTTTCAACTACTTGCCTAACAATGCACCGCTATCAGCTCCGCAATTTGGCGTCTTATTTATCCTTAATTTGCCTTGTGAATAGTATGTAGCGTTTATTGACTGCGACGTTACATGCAGTTCCATCGCTACCGTCCCGCAGATTATCTGAGACGATGACATCGTTTGCCGGTATCATACGGAGCCTCGGTCAACCTAACAGCCTCTCGTTACTTTTTTATTTGTGCCTAGCAGGTCATCATTCGGTATTAGAAGACTGTTATTTTGTCATCGTGATGTCGCTTAAAAGGTGGTTCTTTTGATGATTGCGAAACGTTTCTTGTGTGTCGATGTTGGTATATCTTCAGTCAGGCTTTTTACCTTCCCACCAATGTGTTGGCGCTATGGTCGATATCCGTGCTGAAACAGAAGTGAAGTTTATTTCGATACTTGTTTAAGTTCATTAAAGAATATAGCATATGCCGCACCAATTTCGACTTTATTTGTTCGGCTTTCCGGCTGTTTTCAAACACGGAACTAGTTAGATCAGTATTTGACGTACATCAAGTGTTCAGCTGTGTCCTCGTGTGATTAAAAAAGTGCATTTAGCGTTCATGAGGACACCGCGTTGTTGTATGACAGACATGTATCACACGTCACAGCTCATATCCCCTGCCGATGCCTAGTGTAACTGGTGGGGATCACACGAAATATCGCGCAATGACGCCGAAGTGGGGCCACGCTGCCCCTGAAGCGGGCCGTCGTGGCCTGCGCCGGCGGCCGGTGCACAGTGGGCGATCCGGCCGGTGTAGCCTCGCGAAACCTATCGGCATTCATAACATCCATGTTTTTGAAGCTAGAACCACAATATTTAGGAGCAACCTTCTTGAATATCCAATGAGCATATGTTTTAAATAAGGACTATCTCTTATAGGATTTGTGCTCTGTGGCGAGCTTGCAATTTGCCTAATTGCTGTTCAAATAACGCATGAATACTTTTGAGGGTAGGTCGAAATTTATGACGATATGAACTGGGTAGGACATTGAAATGGTGTGTACTGTGTACCTCCATAGAAAATTGCTTCCAAACCAATTTTTTATTCAAACGATAATGCCCTACCAATTTATACATATGAAACAGCGTAAATCTCGCCCGGCAAGGCCCCATTTCATAACGTGACCCAAGCAGCGGGTTTGGTTTTTGGTAAATAACTTCGCAAAAAATGGCCGCAGAACCACGATTTTGACATCGTGTTCGCCTTGCTCAGGCGCGTCGAATGGTATACTTTTGTTTAGGTGAGGCCACCGTAAGGTCAACCTGGCCTTGACCTCGAGTGAAGGTCAGGTCAGAGGTCTTCAAATCACGAAGTTGGTCGAAGGAGGTCATATCGCATATCATTCGATTCGGCAGGTCTTCCGGAGTCCATTGGTGACCTTGTCGACTCTCTAGCTCAATTTGATTGGGAGTTATTGACGAAAAACTCGTATGACCCTAGTGACGTCATAAATGACGTCATGCAAGGTCAACAATGCAAAAATGCAGCATCAGATCTTGCAAGGAGTGCATGAAGTAACGATTCCATGTATTTGAGACAATTGAATATCATTCCTGGCGCCAAAATAACAGTTTTCATATTTCCCCATTGACTTATAGGTGAGGTCACGTGACCAACCTGACTTCATGTGACATTTAGGAAAAATCTGAGATATGCAAGTTGTAAGACCTCTGAAGGACAATAAGTCCTGCAAGTCTCACCTCCCTGTGAAAGTTTCTCTGGCACTGAGAGCTTTGCAAGGTTGCGACATCTGAGGATCGTGCAGAGGCTCATTTATGACGTCATAGGTCAGTGACCTGACCTGACTTGAAAGTGCGGCTGGTGTCACAAGATCCAGCGTGCATCAAAGGTCAGGTATGCCAGGTTGCAGCTCTCTATTGCCTGGGTGTTTTGAGCTATCGCGAAAACACCCTTTGGGGCATTTACCACTTGTGCTCAAGTGCACCAAGCAACGGCCAACCCTTAGAAGAAAAAAGTGTCTGGATGCTAGGGCTGCAAGTTGCTGCAAATTTTCACTGGCTCCCCTAATAGATAGTGTCTTAGTGCATGCGATACAGCATTATTTTCAGTTCATCCTCGTAAAACTTTTTTTGCTGGGCTTGGTTAATTCAGTGAGCGTAATGTTCAGTGGTAGAAAAAATATAAAAAGTTAACCTAATTATAAGACATTTTGAACTGATTTTGTCTACTTGCTTTCTATGGCGGAATCGTCTTAACACCTAAATTTCACTTTCCATACGAAATGGATGCTCAACACCTAGCAATTTCATCGTTCCGCAAAATATTCAAAGAGCGTAAAAATCGGCTGTGATTATCCCCCTTATGAAGTGTTACGGAACGCTGTCTTTAACGATACCTTTGTCTACGAAAAAATGTCTCCTGAGCCATGCAAATGCACTAATCGTAATCTTTGATGAATTTTCTGTCGACTAGTATGCATTGTTTTCCAATTTTCCGAAAAAGTGTCTTTGAGGTTTCGCGAGGCTAGACCGGCCCGATCGCCTACCGTGCGGTGTGGGGGTGCGGCTCCTCGGGCTCGGCCGTGTCAGTGGGAGATCGGCACGGACGGCGAGCTACTCGGTATGACGGGCTGCATACGGCGCTCTGTAAATGGCGCGTACCATTGGCCGCGGTGCCCATCGCTCGGGAATTACCGTCTAGTGTTGTTCACTTTATTCTACGCACCGTGCGGTTTTGCGAGATTGCGTTATGCAATGCAATTTCGTTATTTGCGTTATTTGCGATATTTGTTGGTCGGTGGGACGCGCTGCAATACTCGTAATACGGAGGGACACGCTACGGAGCACACACACACACACAGTTTGTCGTAATAGTCGGACTAATTCAGGCGAACTCCCTTTGCACTTTGTCATCGAAAGAAAGGTCATTCCAGATCATTGAATCTCGTTTTCTCGTTAACGACTCAGGACGCTCAGGCTTAGCATCATTTATGGATGGACAGACCGTTTTACGTGTCCATCTGTTATATACTCAATACCAGCTCGGTCGGTGCCGGGCATCACTGACAAGGGTCGGTCACATACATCACAGACGCAGACAGTGTTTGGCTGCTGCCGAATTTGAGTAAAGGGATGAGAGCTCTCACTCTGAAAGCTATTACGGTCATGGCAAGATTCAATGACTCGGCTGCCAACCATCGGTATTTTGGAGTGATCGTTTCCCAGGGGCTCAGTTGAACGGTTGCTCACGCTGCCATATGTTTCGATGGGTTACGGGTCGGTCAGACCATTGCACTGCACCGTTCTAAGGCGCGGGAGAGTGGTAGACGCTCAGTCACGGCGGTAGCGAGCTCCGCGGGTCGGTCTGGTGGCGCCCCCTGGCGGACGCTCACCCCGGTAGCTGAGCTCTGAGGACCGGGCTCTGGTGGCGCCCCCTGGCGGACGCTCACCCCGGTAGCTGAGCTCTGAGGACCGGGCTCTGGTGGCGCCCCCTGGCGGACGCTCACCCCGGTAGCTGAGCTCTGAGGACCGGGCTCTGGTGGCGCCCCCTGGCGGACGCTCACCCCGGTAGCTGAGCTCTGAGGACCGGGGGTCTGTTTGGTGGCGCCGTCCGTGGGACGATGGTGCTGCCATCTTCAAAGAAATGAGTGCACTGACTTCCGACACGCTCTACAGATCTACACCATTCCTATTATCAGACGAGGTCCGCGACGCCAGACGGGCACCATAGCCACTGTTCGCTGATTGGTGCTAACAGCTGAGGGGCTGATAATGAAATACCTATTCTAGCTCTGCGCTGAAGGCCACGTACCTAAGACAGGCTGCAGGCGAATTTTGGGTTCACTTAAACATAAAGTGAAGTTCAGGCTCATATGTCGAAAATCACCAGGCAGATCCAATGTTGTATGTCACCAGGTCCAATATCATATGCCGCCAGGCCCCATACCGTATGTCACCAGGCCCAATATCGTATGGCACGAGGTCCATTATGTACATATATCGTATGCCACCAGACCCCGGTCGTGTCACCAGGCCCAATATCGTATGTTAAGATCATATAGTAATGTATACCGGGAGTTCCTAAATAAACAGTCGAATTATTTTTGCCTCTAGTGGCGTCAACTAACAAAACCACAACATCTTGACCAAGATTACTAGAACATAAGGTTGGACAAATTGTGACGTCACTGGTGCTTGGAATATTTTTTCTAGTATCCCACTAGACAGGCCTAGTTGAAACTAAATTTGAAGGGAGGGCAATTCATTGCCAAGTATCTAATTTTGTGAAAATAATTGTTGGAAATGTAAAGTAAGGCACCATGGACTTGTTTTCAATTGGGAACAGATGATATAAAAAGAAAAATAAATGTTTTACGATACTACTAAATCAGATAATTTGGTACAAATTCATAGACGTATAAATAAACTGGACTGGCAATTCGAAGGGACCTCCCATGGAAGATAGTGGCGCCGACAAAGCGGCGCCAAAAATCTGTGCTGTGAAACGTTGTAAAGCAAATAAATTTGTAATTATTTTTAAATGGATGATCGGATCGAGGTGATGCTGGTGCCGTTTGACGTGCCATTTCTGGAGGCAGGTGATGGTATAGGTCCCGGGTAACTCTCTGTCACGTGGCGCGTATGACTTGCCGACAAACACATTGAGAACAAAAACCTTTTATCGACGCTTTAAGCCAATCCAAGGGAGGTCCAGGTGCCAAATTTGTAGGTCACATGTCCCGGTACCAAACCACTGACATATGGAATAATTGGCACCGAGAGATACATACTGCACATGCTCTGGACGAAAAACATGTTTTGATGAGGCATTCTCCGACGTCCGAAAACTTTGACCAAAGCACCTAAAACTCGGCACAATGGCACAACATGGACAAACGCTTGAAGGCGTTGTACGAATAGGTGTGCTGAGGTGCACGGTCCACATGCTTCGCACGTGAAAACCTTTTGATATTACACTTCGTGCTACGCATATACGTGCGGCACGATATAGGGGAGAGTGGGGCAAAGCGGCCACCCGGGGCAAAGCGGCCACCCATCGTTTTAGCCCTTCATAGCTGGCGTCAGTTCCAATTTATGGTTTCCAATTATACTTCTCTTCACGGTCGTTCGAATGAGCCAGACCGGGGTTTCAGGCCCATCACCATTGTTCTGTGAAACACGGAAAAGCATTTCTTGCCAGGTTACCAACTATGTTTACAATTTTTAAATGTTAGGTTTTTCCATAACCGTTTGGAATTTTTATAAGCGTTCTTGTCCATGCATTACATGGTTATCGTACATGTATTCTACCAATTTTAATTTTTTTTACCCCACTTATAGCTAAGCTGGAATGTTTTTGTCTCGGACGGTATGCGTGGGGCAAAGTGGCCGGGGCAAAGTGGCCACCCCCCAATTGGCCATAAGTTGCTTCCATCTGGATTAAAAACATTATTTATATTCAAATTTGTCGTCATG